AGCCTTTTCAGTCAAGAGGTCTGCGTTCTCGTTTTGGAGACGCTATTTGTTATAATTGTGGAAAGAAAGGACACACTTATTATTATTGTCGTTCGAGGCCTGACCCTCGAGTACCTCGCCGTGTGGGTAATAGACAAAGTTATTTTCAGCCTAAAGGTCAAGGAGGTTCTAGTTGGCAATCTAATCAGCAGGGAAACTAAAACGCGCCCCTGTCTCGTTGAAAAATGAACCCGTGATGGGGGCTTCAAAAGTTGAAAAAAGAAGAGTTTAAATTTATCGTCGGGGGCGTGCAAAACTGATAAATCTGCTTTCTGTAAAGTGCGTCCTGATGGGGTTTCTGTTATCGCAAAAAAAGAATTTGATGAATATGTTGTTGGTAAAGATAGTGATCAAGCTTCGTCAAAACAATCTTTTGAATCTTCGGATGTTTGTCAATTTTCGAGGTTAAGTCAAAATACTTTTTCTAAGCAAGGCACATGTGTTGAAAGTAATATTGTGATTATCTTTACAATTATTTTTGCTATCACTATTAAGTTACTAGAGTTTTTATTCCGGCGCGAATTCGCCAGTTTCTTCGGTTTCCTCTGTTGGAAAGGAATGTCCCGAATATTTTTGTGGGGAATTGAGACAAGAAAAGCCCCAAAATTTTAAATGCGTTGTTCCCAAAGAAGGCAAATTAACTTTTGAAAAGGTCGATGTTATCGTTTTTGATCCGTTAGATGTTGGTGATGTTACGGTTAAAGATGTTGTCTTTGAAGGTGTTTTGATCAATTAGATAAGTGATAGCGACGTGTTTTCAAGTGGTAATGCAGTGAATATTAAAAGAGGATCATTTGGGTCTTCGGAAGTCGATGATTTGGGTACTCTTGGTAGTGAAACAAAAACGCTCACCCGAAGTGAGGTTGGTTCGCCTGCGGGCGCTTTGTTGATGTCGTTGATTAATTCTCCAAGTGTTGGGGATAAACTAAAATTAGATACGGTTAATGGTATTTGTGTTCCTTTCGTGGCCGAAAATTCTACTTTGCCTATTAGTATAGCGGGTCACAATTTTTATTGTTTGATAGATTCTGGGGGCTGTCACGGCAGTCAGCGCAAAAGTGTGGCTTGAGTGTTTGAGTCACGCTTATCCGAGTCTGGACAAGTGTAGTTCAGAATGTGTGACTTCAGTAAATGGGCGTCAACTGACTACAATTGGGAAGTTGTTGGTAGAATTTGTTTATTGATTTTCATGCTTTTCCTTTCGAGGCGCACGTGATTGAGGATTTGACTAGTGACGTAATTCTTGGTAGAGATTTTCTACAAAAATTTTGTTTCACAGTTGATTTTGAAAATGGAACGCTGAGTTTTTTTTTTTTGCCTTTTGCTGGTTATGGTGAATTATGTGTGTGGTTTTATACAAGCAGAAACGGGGAAATATTTTGAATGAATAATATAATAGCTCATATACCATGATGGCTGAGCCCGAACCAGAGCTCTAGAATTACATTATCCGATGATTCAGTTTTTAATAATGGTAATTATGAATGTATGTGTAACTTTGAAGACTGTGATTTCTTAGGTGAAGTTTTCTTATTTCAACTTATTCTCTACGGGAAGCCCAAGCTCACGCAGTGGACAAAGAATGTTCTAACGTGTGCTCTTCCAAAGACCCGAGTTTCCTTAGGCTCGATTTCCGCCGTCTCCCGGGTTCGGTCTTTGATCATGAGTGCGGGCTCATTTTCCCGAACAGCCGCCGGTAATCAAGCCTAGAGTTTCCTACCAAGACGTGGACACGGTAAGAGGTTATTTTTTTTATAATTGATTTAAAATTGAAAGCCCTGAGAGCGAGGCTGGAACACGATTTGCGATGTCGTTATGCCTACATACGTTCCTTTTCTAGGTGCAACAACGAAAATAGGAGACATCGCATGCAGGCAAGCTGGCGTTATGTGAGGGGGACTGTAACGCTTGAGTCACTGAAGGCACTTAGTCCTTTTTATTGCTTACCCTAATGAACGCACTTTCTGCTGTCCTAATTTGCTATGTTACAGTCTTGTTGCTCTTTGTGTCATGGAATTGCTTAAGGTTCCTACTAGCGATTTAACTGAAAAAAAATATACGCATCCCCTCTCCGACAGAGCGAACTGTATGCCACCCTTTCATGATAGAGGGAAAATAAACATCTACACAGTCAGATATATAGCAGAACTATAAAGCAACCACCCAAACATTTTTCAGACCGCCGTTCGCGCCGATAACATGCAGGTACATAAAGTTCTTTACAGACTTTATCGTAATTATTTTGTGACCGTGGAAGTCTAATTGATTCCCTGAAGACAGGACTTTCTAGGTCACATTTGACAACGGTTGACGTGTCAATACGAAAAAGTTGAATGAAACATTGCATAACAGTCTGATGACAGCGTCTCAATGTTCACGAACCAATCCAATATTCCGATGCTGAGGCGAGTGAGCTAAGTATGCTGTTTAACACATGATCTAGATGTTTTGTTTTTCCTTTATCTAAAACAATTTTGATAGGTGTTCTGAGTATTAGTCAGTGAAAAGTCACTCAACAATAGATTTCTATTTGTTAGCGAAACTGAATGTAAAAAAAGAAAAAAGTTGCTACACAATTTTATTCTTCTTTTGTATTTATAATATGTATAGAGTTATAAGTACTGTATATAAAAAGCAGTTGGATAACAATAAGGGCGAAAGTAAAAATACAAGTCCGAGTGATATGTTACATATATGTAACAATTTCGGAATCTCATGATTTTGTTCATGGTGGTGAAGTAATGTTTCAGTTATAGTTGACGTTCATATTTAGTAGATGAAACAAATACTGCATTTATTATTGAAGGTTGTGCTTTTTAAACAAAAGAATTAGTTGGAATAAAATATATTTTTATGACACTGGTGTCTTGTTATAGTCGAGGGATGAATTGTTCTTGTTTGATGGCGGAGATGGACGACGTTTTAAATTTGGTATCTCATGACATGATTTGGATTTATGACGAAGAATTCTGCTGCGGACTTTTATGGTTACAAGATATCACTTTAAACTAGGTTTGATGAAAGAAGAAAAGTTTTATCGCCCTACTGAACATGAAAAATAATGGCGACTATAATCAGGCGCGGGTCTAGGATAAATACTGACCGATTTCCTACAGCTGCAGGCGCAGGTCCGGGTGACCCCGGGAGATTTTCTGAATTTTAACTCCCTAAAGCCCTCTTTCCTGGGTATCTGAGTCTTTCAGACAGGATATTGGCCAGTTCCATTTTCCGCAGATGAAGCTTTGTAAATTGACGCTTTATTAGTAGTTCAAGCCATAGTATAAGGGGAACGAAGTTGGAGAGTTTGCTCCGCTAGCTTGGAGGCTCCTGCAAAACACTCTCCAAATTTATTCGCCCTCTATTGGTCTATTACTCCTTAACCATTTGGAAAGTCTCTTTTTTAAATATGTTTATAACTATGAAAAATTTGACCGATTTCCGTAAAACTGTGGAAACCTGTGTGGTTCCGCGTTACGTGGATTTAAAACATGTATAGTGTCAGTGCTTTTTGAGTTCATTGACCAGTTAAAAGGTATTGACAGAAAATTAAACAGATAAGGCATTAATTTTATTTTGAATTCAATAACATAAAATGGAGTTTATATCGTCCTGAATGACTATGTGCTTCACAGGTACTGAGAAAGATCGTGTATCAACATCAGAGAATGTAGAATTAAAGAACGGGTATGTAGGACACCACACGACCACTTCTCACATTACTTCCAAGCCCCGGATGTGTGACGTCACTCAGCGCTCTTCTGGGGAGGAGTGTTGCGTGACGACACAAAGAACGGCTTTGTAGCAAACTAATTGTAGCGTTGAAATATCGATTACGACATCTGGGATAAAGATTGTTAGATCGTGGTCGTGCAAGTGGTTGTTTTTTAGAGCTGTTTCAGATCAATTGTATAGTTTCGCTGCGATTCAAGTCATCATATGAATATGTCTATTGGCATTAGTATTGGACAAAATGTTATTGGGGAATCCTGAACGTTTGATTGCAAGTGTTACGAGGTAGTTGCAGTTAGTTTTGTTTTTGAGTTTTGGTCAGTATTTTTAAGGTTTCTCTTAAATTTAGGGTATCCGAGCGATTATTTTGTAGTTAAGTTCATAATCCAAGGAAATTCAACTGAGTATAGCCCACACGGTTAGTTCCTGAGTTTTTGAGAAGTATCGTCCATTTGAACGATTTGTTAAAATCAGTTGTAGTTTTTTTAAGTAGGCATGTTCGGGGATAAAAGCTGACCTCAAGTTTTACCCACGTACACTGAAGTTTCAGAAGTTCATAACTATTATTCCACGAACTAGTCTCAACAAGGTTCATATAGTGTGATGCCTGGTGTGATGCGACTCATTGTCCATAATGCACATATTGCGGGAATCTTATGAAATTTTTGTATATCAGCACAACAGTGGTAGAGACAGTTCCTTTACTGCAACAGGCGACTATATCTATATATTTAACTCATGTGGGACATGTGGTTGAGTTTCAGAGTTGTGTATCACTAGTTACATAAATGTCCATACTGAATTATGTTGGAATATGCCAAGGTTGACGATTCAAATATGTTTGAAGAAAATGATATTTCCAATAAATATTTCTGAATGGAATTTCATCACAAATAAAACCACAAAAATGAAGGCATTGTTTTTTCTCTTACCTACGAGTGTCCCTACGAGTAATGTCCTAAGTCGCCATCTTTAGTCCTTGAATCTTGAATGGTACCCGTTGAAAACTGGGGAAAAGTCAACTAACCGGAAGTGAAATCTGTTTCCTAGAAATGAACCGAGGAAACCTCCTTCTGTAAGCATTTTCACTTTCCGAGAAAAGGGGAAATAAAATATTGCTTCTGTAAGCATTTTCACTTTCCGAGAAAAGGGGAAATAAAATATTGCTTCAGTAAGCATTTTCAGGGGTTGATCTCCAAAACAGAACAACAGATATTTTATCACGAAGGAAAATGAGTAGACAAGACTTAATCAGCCTTCTAAATGATTATACCACCAAAGTGCAGTTGAGAAGAAACCGAAAAACCGAGGCACTTGAATACTGGGAGCAATTTGTAACTGACATTATAAATTCTGTAAAGAGAAGCGACAGACGCTTCGCGAATTTGCACATTTTTCACACTGGAAGCTATTACGATGGCTCAAAAGTTCGGAAGCCGGATGAGTTTGATATGATGTTGGTGATGGACAACTTAGAACTCGACGGTGAGCCTTATGGAGAAGACGAAGATGATGGTATGAGCGAGCCGCCAACAGGTGCGAGGTTGCAATTTTCTATTTTCGCTTTTTCTTAAGCTAGGAAATTACTATGTAATATGAGCTACACAGAAAAATTTCTCCCTGTTTATATAACCGGCAAAAGGACAAAAAAATGTGTCTACAGACATTTTGTCACGAAAGATTAATATCAAACATTTCGCTATTAAGTTTGCAGAACGCAGAGAACGACTCGAAGGCGACACTACTCGAAGGCATGACGTAGTTATCGTTTCAGTGAGGTCCTGTTTTAGTGCAAATGAATACCTTGTTTTTCAAAATTTTCATGTCAGTCGTTGTAAACGAACAGACGGTCTTCACAAATATTGCTACTCATGCAAGAACAGATGAGAATTCCAAATTAAATTTAAAAGAGAGGCTTTCCTAAACCTTGCCAACATTTCTCTCATTTCCTAATTTCAGTAGCTAGTACTGATAGTCTATTGGTGAGAAACGTATTCGCCAGTCTGACCCCACCTCCTCCCTTTCCAGCTGCTCAATCTACCTTCACTTACAAAGAGAAAGCCAAAGTTAGATGCCAGTGGTCTCATGACTGAGTTAGAACAACTGAAAATCTGGATAGTATGGATAGACTGGCCCTAATAAACACACCACACAAAACTCAGCTAAACCAGACTCGCCGAAAGGCGAAGTCACTGGGCTGCCCAAAAACCGAGACTACGTCAAAATCAAATCTACCGCCACCAGACAGAGTAGAAGTAGTATTAGTAGTAACAACAACAACAACAACAACAACAACAATAATAATAATAATAATAATAATAATAATAATAATAAAAGAGGAAGAAGGAAGAGGACGGGGAGGAGGAGGAGGAGGAGAAAATTGATAAGTTTGCCACCGAGGTGCAGATCATTGGAGGTGGCGGGGGAGAACTGAGGATCTTTGTCACAACAAGAGGTCTCCCCCCAGTGGAATCGAAGGGGACCTTCTAGGTCTGATCTCATCAATTCCTGTGTAAATATATTTTAGGACGTTCCACCACCTCCTGAGCATTTGCCATTGCACATTAAGATTTAGATCTTGCACATTTAGATCCTGCACATAAAAAAATAGGCCAATAAAATTATCCCCCAGTTCTAACAGTGCATCAGTTTTGTGTTTTAGCTTTTACATTCCAATAATAAATATACACATTGTACGTACAATCAAGGATGTCTGGTGTCAACGCGAGATTTGACTTGACGTTTTAATTACTACTTAGTTTCGTACCGCCGCCGGCATGTACGGCACTCCTCAGATAAAATTGCCAACAATTAAGATGTTATAACATATGCTAAGACTACAAACGCGCGCGCAGAATTTGAATAAAAAAACTATTGCCTGCCAACGGAAGATGTAAAGCTGCTAAGAAGGAATTTACGCGCGTTCTTACAGGTACCCTGCGAACAGAGTCTCCTTCGATCTTCCTAGATAAGTCGGGAAGAGGAAGGAACCTCTGCCGACATCCTCGACAATTCATATTGAGCATGCTCCAAATTCAAATTTTTCTGCGACGTCAATCAAACCGTTACCGTAGCATCCACTGCGTTTGTCAGCAAATGTAAATGTTAGCGGGAACGTAACGGTTCGTTTTCACCCTTCCGTAGCTGTGTTTCCTCTAGATTGGGAAGCTCTGTAGGAACAATTTCACCTTTGGAATATAAACTTGCCATGTTTCAGTGTAAAGAGGTTAAAACATGCTTAAAGCTATGGTAAAACTTACGGAGCTTTTCAACTAACCTTGAAACAAAGAAACACACAAAACGGATCGAAAACCACCAATCACAAATCACAAACTACGACCTTTTGTTTCCTAAGAGGTTCGCTAAGATGTAAAGGCGAGCAAGCGAAGAAAGCGCCGCTTCTTCAGATTTTGATTGACGTCGTAGAAAAACACAAAATCCAAAGACGTTTTTGGAATAGCAGGTCGGGTGTTATCCACAAACAGCTGTAAAAGCATCGATCATTTACATGCAAGATGGATTCTGTAGCCTCATGATCTTATTTTGAATTAATGTTATGGCAAACACAAAAGAATAAGCATAGATATTGTTTCTTAAATATTTTTATTCAAAACCCATTTGTTTATCCTTCCAAGAACGTCGCGTAACACTTACCGGATTGTGGATCCGTTCACGCCAGTAAAATCGGCTAATTATAAGTAAGTGGTTAAATCCAAAACAAAATCCATCTTGAATCTGGGTGCATTTTCCAATTTTTGTAAGACTGAACGTTCCATCTATAATTTTCTCAAAATTCCTGCATGAAATTGAAGAGGCAGCTACTTGTCATGTCTTGTCATGGAGCGTGAGCGCAGAAAGAGTCAGCGAAACTCCAGGATATGCGTGCGTGCACAGATAAAACTGGTTTATCCAGTATAAAACTTGTCTGACTCATCCAAAAAGCTGGATGATCGGCAGATCAAACGATTTGGAAGATGTCGGCAGAGTCGCTTCCTCTTTCCCGACTTATCTAGGAAGATCGAAGGAGACTCTGTTCGCAGGGTAGTTCCAGATGTGCTAACTGAGTTCTGTACTGAGTCTCTTGTTTGGGTCTCTGAGAGAAGACTTATGGTTCGAGTATCTGAAAAGAGTTCTCAGTAAGGCCTCCTCGGCTGGCCTGTTGTCCTCCGTTGCTACTGTGGCTTGGTAGATCACGGCTGATTTTAAGCAATTACCGTCCAGAGGGCAATTGGGTGGTTGACGGCAGTTGCAAGCTTTAGGTGGTACGGCGTTTGTTTTCCGTAGAGTGGATTTGTTGTAGCCATCAATTTTTTGCTTTAGATTCGGCATGCAGCTGTAACTGATCTTTACTGTGTTCCGGTTGAAGATTTTATGCAGGGTTGTACCCGCTGTCATCGAGAGCTTTCTGATAAAGAGGCGCCGCTTTGCTAAAGGAATCTTCATCTAAAGAGATTTCGGACAGCCTTTTGTTAATGCACTTTGGGATGTTTTCGATGATGCGGGATGGATGGTTAGATTTCTTGTTGACGTAGAGTGGAATGTTTCGTGGTTTGTTGTATGGCAAGTCCAGGTTAAGTGTGACGTCAAGAAAGTTTACTACTTTCTTATTGGCCTCGACATGTAATCTTCAGACCGTACTTTGCGAAAATGCCACACAATTCCTTCTTTATAAGCTCGGCCTGCCGCGGTGATGCCTTGGTTACGCCTAGACCATCATCTCTGTACAAGCCAAAGTTACATGCGTTACCGAACCTTTCCTTGATGTTGTGGAGGAGGTAAGTGCCGACGAGTTCGCATGATTCGGCACCATCGTAACTGCCCATGGTCACATCGAAGAGGTTTGATGACGTTCTCTTGCTCCATGGCTCACCGGAGTTGTGGAGAAGAGAACTTTTTGCCTGAAGGATAATATGCCGTTTGTAGTCTTAGCGTATGTTATAACGAAATTTTTGTTGACAATTTTATCTGAGGGGTGCCGTACATGCCGTGCGGTAGGAAACTAAGTAGTAATTAAAATGTCAAGTCAAATCTCACGTTGACACCAGACATCCTTGATTGCACTACGCTCTAGTCCTTCTATTGAGCACCCTGCCGATAGGCGTGCATATGCATCAACTGGTGTATTGTATGTACATATTTATAATAATAATAACGACAATAATAAATAATAATAATAATAATAATTGTACAAACAGTGATTTCAGTGTCACCTTTCTGTCATAAGTTAATGAATATTTTGTTCTGTTAATGATCAGGATTTACTACAGTAATGATTGACCAGGGTGAAGAATTGCAGTGGAAGCAAGACAGGCAAGACAGGCAAGACAGTCAAGACAATTGTGTTAATGCACGGGGAATGTTAAATGCCCAAAGGGTCAAGGAAGTTTTTGCACGGCTCATCAGAAATGCTATTGGCACTCTCGCTCAGCGATATAGTAGCAGGTATGAGCATATAAATATACCAGTATGTGACAAATGGCTCCAGACATAATGGGGAAAAATCCTTAATAGTTGCAAGTCTGTTTCATTTCTAAGGAACAATATTAGTAACTACAGTCATAATTTAATATCATTGGTTTAAATAGTTAGCCCAGCCCATCTCTACCCTAAAATGGTCTATCCCTAAGACAAAGACTTGTTTAACCAAAGTGAATAATTACAAATTCTAATTTGTTTTGAGCACATAGACAGCACAACTGGAGCAACAAAACTCATAACAGAAACTCCGTTGCAGAAAGAGTAATATTATAATAAATTATTATTTTATTAACAAAATTTGATTATTTAATGCCTGTTATTGACCTTATAACTACTGTGAAAGGTTTGAACCCAGGAGTCATTTCAAAAGGTTGAGTTTGATCGTCCGGGTGAACGTAGTCCTGAATAGGACTGTTGCTGTTGACATGCAGTGACTGACGTTTCGACAACCTGTGCGGTAGTCATCTTCAGAGTGAAAGTGAGTTGTATCACGTCAGTTGATGGTATTATACTCTGGTTATTGATCTGACTGGTCAATTATGTCGCGATGTTATTGGTCGTCTGTCAGTTAAGCCGTGATGTTATTGGCTATGAAGACTCGTAATCAGTGATTGGTACGTTTCGATCCGTCTATTGTCACAGTTAAACAGTCGTCTATTGTTAGGTCAAATTGTCAGATTGTATTATACCAGAGTATAATACCATCAACTAACGTGATACAACTCACTTTGACTCTGAAGATGACTACCGCACAGGTTGTCTAAACGTCAGTCACTGTCAACAACAACAGTCCTATTCAGGACTACGTTCACCCGGACGATCAATCTCAACCTTTCTTATAACTACTGTTAGTTATTACTATTATTACAAGTGATACCGGTAAAAGTAAATTATAATTATTTTACACTATATAAAGTTTCACTTTTAAACCCTAAAATAATTTAATTAAAAAGGGTTAGCATTTTTGTCCTTCTTCGGTGCCGCATATTTACAAGTATATACCACGAGCACTGGACGAAAAAACGGATTTGCCTAAGTTTGCTAGTTGAGCAAATCTATTGTAAATTTAGGGTAATAATGTTGCTACTTATTTGTTCTTGGTGCAAATTTTGTTCGAAAGTGAAAGTTTACTTTTCTGCAAGGGTGGTGTAAATGTGGAGTAAATATCAGGTTTACAGATATTTTGTTTCACTTTTGCTCCCCATAGTAAATTTGGTGTTTAGATTCAAATTTGCCGCCATTTTGTTCTCTGCGTAAAAATCGAACGTCAAAAATGAATGTTTGCTTGATATTTTCTGGCATAGCAAAGTTAATGTGTAAATTTATGGTTGCTAGAGGCGTAAATTTAAGCAAAATATGATCAAAGAACTATCTTTACGACCACTTTAACCAACGTTTGCACATTTACCAAACTTCACAGTGCTATTTCACGCAAGTTTTGATTTTCCATTGCCCCGTTTCAATCACCATCACATTCTTCTCAGAGTTTATCATATTACTTGCTGCAGCTGGTTATTTCGGGTAAGGCCATCCCTCCCTTTTTTTTCGTTTAGCGTCGAATGCGTTTCCTGATATTGGGTCGGTGGCTCGGGAAAAAACATATATCACAAGAAGTCTCGGAATAGGAGGCCCTGACGTAAAACGTTACCATTTACAATTTGGGTGAACAAAATGCACAATATGTGAAAGGTTTGAACCCAGGAGTCATTTCAATAGTAGATTGCAGAGTTTCATCGTCCGGGTGAATGTAGTCCTGAATGCACTCCATCGCAAGATAAGCCGCCATGTTTGTTGTTTCCCAGGCTTCCACGTGACTTTGGCACATGCGCGATTTGATTTACATTGTCACGTGCGGCTTTTGAACCAATAGAATAATGTAAAATAAACTTTCGTTGAACAGTTCAAATTCACGCGGACTTCTCAAGCAATACAGCGTTGCAAAACGAGTAGTTTTGTTATTTTCGGATAATAGAAAGCCTGTCTTTCTATTCAGCTGTTCTATTACGATTTATACCTTTGTTATTTTCGAGAGACAGTGATCAGTTGCGATATTCTTCACATAAAGCCTGTTTCCAAGTCATCAACTCAGCTGGATTGCAGAAAGGTATGTTCTTCTTGATATCGTGGTTCGTTTACTTACTTTGGTTTTCTAATAACTTTGCGTAAGCTTAAAACCTCAAAGATAAATCTTAAAATTTAAGATGCATGCACAGATATGCCATTAATTGATTCCTTTTTGTTTACTGCAGAAATAACTGTACTCTTTGTTGCGCATCGTCTTCATTAATGGAATAATCTTAAGTAGCTAGATCTTGAGCTGTGCAGGCAAACATTTCTTTTACACCAATGTAAGTCGGTGATGTGACCTTAGCATGTCCATAATTCAGTAATTTGCCTTGTTGTACAGCTGAGTTAATATGTTAGATCTTTGGGGTTACTGTACTTTTCAGCAGGGCGTAACACATCGATCGAAATCGATCATCGGAAAGCTAATCGATAAATCGATACTACTCGATATTACTCGATAATAATCAATCGATTAAGCAAATTAATCGATCAAAATCGATAATCACACAAGTTTGAGCATTTGGTATCGATTTCTATCGATTTCGTGAAACTTTCGAAGATTCCACGAGAAAACAACCGCTCATAATCTGCCCCGAGTAAGCCAATTTGATCGAAACAATAGTGTTGAATATATTTACTACAAAGCAAGACTGGCTTAGTGCACCCTGTATTAACTCTGATTAACCATCGCTTTCATCCGCTTTCATACCTTAACACCGGCTATTAAACAACGCCGAACAACGGCAACTCTCAGGCGTCAAACTAGCAAACCTCAGCAAACGCATTTTTCGACATTTTGTCAGCAGCCATCATTTTCGGTTTGAGATTAAATTCTTTGACCCACCGACCCATTCAGCATTCACCGGCCCATTCATTCTGCATTCAGTATGCTGCTGAGTATATTAGAAAAATGTGCAAATATAGTCAGTCACGGATAGTCGACAGAACACCTTTAGCCGGCTTTAGCGTGTTTGTCAAACGCATCGGCGAGAGCAAGGCGCGATAGCTAAGAAATTAGGGGAGACTGGGGCGAGGGGGTGGGGTGCCCGCGGCATTTTATCAGATCCTGTTTTGAACAGCGTTTGTGCCATTCTCAGCATTTTTATCAGTTTGATATGAAGTTACTGTTACTGTTACTGTTACTGTTACTGTTGTTTTGTTACTGTTGTTGTTTTACTGTTGTTTTAAAAGATATGAAATACAATGTAGATAGTAATTAACGTCAATTTTTAAGGTGAATCATTTCTTCGTTTCGATACCCGCGAGAAGAATATATATGTTCATGTCTTACAGTGTTTCGCAGCGTCAAAAAGGTTAGGAGAGACAAATAAAAGATTGTTCAAACAAACTTCATTAAAATGGAATCTTTTAGCGGGAAACTGGTTGTTTCGCTTAGTAGTTGTTTCGCTAACGAACTTCTTAGGTTAGTTCGCTAACGTATATTCTTCGTTCTATAAGCGTGAACAGTACCTTTTCTTGCCCAATATTATCGATTGAAATCGATACTAATCGAACGAGATCGATACTAATCAAACGAAATCGATACTAATCGAACGAAATCGATCAAATCGATAATCACAAAGAATCTGGCGATCGATTTTTATCGATTTCCGATATTAATCAATTGATTAGTATCGATGTTTATCGATGTTTATCGATTTTGATCGAGTATCGGAATTATCGATGTGTTACTCCCTGTTTTCAGGTGACAGCACTTGACAAAGCAGTGGTCACTATAATTTATTATTTAATATTCTACTACATTTCAAATGACAAATGATTTTCCTTTTGAAATTTTTACAGTCAAAAACTCTTGTTTTACATCTATACATAATTATCGTTCAGTGATATTGTGAAATCTTAATTTGGTTCATTTTGCAAGTGACGGCATAAGTTTGCCAGATCTTGAAGCATATGTGTCATTCTGAGTGACCAGTGTATTATTGTTCCACATTTAAATGACAAATGATTCTTATTTCATAAATTGTACCATCCAAAACTCTTATGGTTTATACATATGGTGCAGTGATACTGTGAGATCTTAATTTTGGTTCATTTTGCGAGTGACGGCACTTGCCAGATCTTGGAGCCTACAGTATGTGTCATTCTGAGTGACCACCGTATTATTGTTCCACATTTAAATGACAAGTGATTCTTCTTTCATAAATTGTACCATCCAAAACTCTTATGGTTTATACATATGGTTCAGTGATATTGTGAAATCTTAATTTTGGCTCATTTTGCGAGTGACGGCATTTTTTTCATTTTGCGAGTGAAGCCTATGTGTCATTCTGAGTGACCACTGTATTATTGTTCCACATTTCAATGACAAGTGATTCTTCTTTCATAAATTGTACCATCCAAAACTCTTATGGTTTATACATATGGTTCAGTGATATTGTGAAATCTTAATTTTGGCTCATTTTGCGAGTGACGGCACTTGCCAGATCTTGAAGCCTATGTGTCATTCTGAGTGACCACCGTATTATTGTTCTACATTTAAATGACAAGTGATTCTTCTTTCATAAATAAATTGTACCATCCAAACCTCTCATGGTTTATACATATGGTTCAGTGATATTGTGAGATCTTAATTTTGGTTCATTTTGCGAGTGACGGCGTATGCCAGATCTTGAAGCCTATGTGTCATTCTGAGTGACCACCGTATTATTGTTCCACATTTAAATGACAAGTGATTCTTCTTTCATAAATTGTACCATCCAAAACTCTCATGGTTTATGCATATGGTTCAGTGATATTGTGAGATCTTAATTTTGGTTCATTTTGCGAGTGACGGCGTATGCCAGATCTTGAAGCCTATGTGTCATTCTGAGTGACCACCGTATTATTGTTCCACATTTAAATGACAAGTGATTCTTCTTTCATAAATTGTACCATCCAAAACTCTTATGCTTTATAAATATGGTTCAGTGATATTGTGAGATCTTAATTTTGGCTCATTTTGCGAATGACGGCACTTGCCAGATCGTGAAGCATAAGTGTCATTCCAAGTGACCACTGTATTACTGTTCCACATTTTAAATGACAATACCTCATTATTTATACCTTTTGTACAGCTCAATGATGTTGAAGGATCTTTGTTAGTTCATTTTGCGAGTAAATGCTTTGGCTTTATCATGCCAAATAACCACAATTAATTAATTATTGTTCTAAGCAACATGTGGGTTGCCTTAATGTTATGTTTCTCAGGTTCTGACTGGTTTTACGGTTTATGTGTACAGTTGAGTCATGGCTGTGCTCTGTTAGAGCCTGGTGACCTGTGGGACACTATCAGTTCTGCAATTGAATGACAGGGGAATTAATTTATTTCAGTTTTTATTTACACTTAAAAGAGTCTGAATGAAACAAATGCAGATTCAACAGAAAGAGGCATTTCTGCTCTCTACTTTAACACCTGTTCCAAAAAACATATATATTTAATGAAAAAGTTAGTAGGAATAAAATGCAGGGAGAAATTTTTCTCACAAATATCCTCAAACTGTTCCTTTGATTAAGAGAGTGTTTTCAGCTTTTAGCATCGTGTCATTGTTCTGCAACCCAATCATTTACACTGAGTATGAGCAGTACATGCTTGTTTACCAACTGTGGGTTACTTGTTGGCTGCTAAATCATGGCTCTTCATTTTTCTTTCAGAAAAAAAATTAAAGGGCCAATATGCTCTGAGGGAGTCAACTAGCATCAGTTAGTCAGACAAGGACAAGTACCTTGCATGTATGTCCGTTGCATATATGTCATCAGAGGAGTCTTTGTCTGAAACAGCTGTATCAGAGTGGCATGAAGGTAATTCTTCAGGTTCAGATGAGGACCTCCCAAACAGGGAAAATCTCTGTGTAAGGCCACTTTCCTGGCAGAGCTTTGAGGTTAATGGTTTAATGGCCCAGTTGGACCGCAAAGTTGCATGGTGTCAAAGCCAATGAAGTGAAAATAATGGTAATAGAGCACACAGTGAGACCAGCATCAAACCAAGGAGCACCAGATGAAGCTAGATGATGCTCCTGAGTTTGCTCTGGCACCCACCACTTACAATAGAAAAAGGAACTTGATCATAAAAATAACACAGATAATTTTTTGAAGAACATTCAGAAAAGAAGAAGACATTTTAGATAAAAATTTACAAAAAAATAATAACACTCAAGTTGAAGTTGACATGCATCATGATTCAGTTCCTTTTCAGTTAAGTTCCTAGAACCATATTTACTCAGTAGACAATTGCACAATTTTTTGAGTTTTGATGAAGACCTACAATGTAGTAAGTGAATATCCTTTGACACCCATGGGAAGGAGCCACGTTAAAACTAGGTAAATTACCAAATCTCAAAGTGATTTGTCACAATCCAATGAAAATCTTGCCTGTGTTGCAGACACTCTAAACCTTCTGTATAGAGCATGCCGTCCGAGAATTAGTGCACAATATCATGTTTGAATCCCACAGGGTCACAAAGACATGCATGTATGTCAGCGTTTTGTGATTGGCTAGGTTCTTGCGCTGTTTGTGATTAGTCCGATTTGAAATAAAGTGTCGACACAAAGTCACATAATCCCAATGACCTTTGTATGGTATGGTGGAGCCACAAACGTTCCCTTACCAGACAAATGTCTGCAAAATTTGCCATCTTTGCAGAGCTGTCCTTGTTAGTTTGCACCGAATCACTCTGTAACTTGGTAACTTTACTGAATTTTAAAAACCTTCCATCTAGTAGCCTGTAAATGCAGCTGTATTTTCAGTCGTCGTGTCCATTCACCCAACATATGTAACTGGAGATACATCTGCATTCACTTTCCGACGTGGTGACAGATCCTAGGGCTACCCTAAGCACTGCCTATAAAAGCGCCACTCCGAGGACTAAATCTAGCCAATACACCCCATAGTAGAGTAATTACTGGACTCCAAATGCCATCATCCTATTTTTTTCTTGGCATATTTTATGAAAAAAGAGTGCAGTTATGTTTTATGCAAAAAAAAAAAAATACCGTGTGTGATAACAGTTTTTTGATAAGCATGGCTTAAATTTTAATCACCTGCATGCCAATAACAATAATAATGATGATGAATTAAAGAAGTTCTACAGAGCTTTCATAGTGTATAGGTTAAGTTGTGTTTAGATAATTTGGATATTTAATCAGTCCAATACTGCAAGCAAAACAGCTGATCATGTGAATCAGAAGAAAATTGCTCAAATTTTTAGCAAATAATTTGATTTTAGTAGAAAAAATAAATGTAATAAATTATTTATGGTCATATAATAATACAAGAATTTCACCAAATCATATTATTTACAGTGATATAATAATAATAATAATAATAATAATAATAATAATACAAGTATTTAACCAAATCAGTGGATAGCAGATTTGCTTTCATAACTTTAAAAACTTTTGGCTATCTATAGGATGAGAGTAAAATTGGGGTGTCATTTCATGCTAGTTTAAGAAGTTTAGCAGTAAATGAAGCACCTGTAAAATAAAATACATGTACATGCTAAAAAGGTGACAAAATTAACCTTATAAGTGTTTACTGCTGGGTAAAAATATATCAAAGTCGTACCCAAATCATAGAAATGCACAGAGCTTTCGTATAGTAACTCATTTTATTTACAAGAAATATTTTTATATAACTGATTTGGTTAAAAATGAATCATACAGATGTATCTCCCCTTGGGGTAAGTGAATAGCACTAGGTACACTATATAATATTATTCACTGCCTATTTTGGGTAGTGGATAATATTTATCAGATGAAAACAAGTTCTTATAAATAATAATTAGAGGAATATCACTTATAACAATAATTTGAGGCTAATTTTATTTCCTGTGGTTGATGTTCTGTCCATTAGTAAGGATGTCAGATCTACATTGGGAGTGATGTGTATGTGTTGTCATCGTACAACCATTTGCCAATAGTATCAATTGAATCTAGAAAGAGTATATTTGAAGTATACCACTCAAATGGAGTTACGTTTTACCTGTACCAACCTTAGATAATTATGAACCAGCTAGTGTTGACTTACACTGTCAAACCCAATGTACATTCTTATACACTTATGAATTTAGATAGTTTCACATTGTATGTGCTTTTTATTTAAAGGCATATATTTTGTGGTACATGCAGTGCCCTGCAGAGGCCAATGGAACTTTTCTTTTAATTGATCTTGCTTTTTATTGTACAGTGTAAATTAAGATAATAAAGTCATTTTATTCTTGAAATTTTGTTTGGTGTCTAAATTGTTTGTCAGTCATTTATGGTACCAAATAAAACTAAGAAACATGTGGATAATGATGTTTTGATCAAATTTGCTATCTTGAGCGAAAGTGTAAAAAAGTGATATTTTAATCAACTTTGTTTACCCTACTTAAAGTATGGAAAACTGCTATCATGGCAATATTTGCCATCCTGAGCAAAGATACAGAAGAACTGATATTTGATCAACTTTGCTACAATGGGGAAAAGTATGGGAAACTACTGTTTTGATCATATCTGCCATCCTGGGCAAAATTGAGAATAAAGTGGTATTTGGCCAAATTTGCTACCCTGAGCAAAACAGTGGCAAACGCCTATTTTGATCATATTTGCCACACTGAGCAAAGATACGGAAGAAGTGATAATTTGACCTCATTTACTACACTAGGGCGATACACAAATAAGGTGAATTTTTGCTCAGATTTACTATCCTGGGCAAAACTGTTGAAAAATGAGTTTTGGTCACTTTTGCTACATTGAGCAAAAAATGTGGCAAATTACTACTTTGACCGAATTTGCTATAGAGAGCAAAAGCATTCAAAAATTCATCTTTGATCGCTTTTGCCCATTTGGGCAAAAACCTGACAAATGTCAGTTTTGCTATCAAGTTTGACACCCCTGTAAATGCCTTGATAAAGTAAAGGTTATCCTTGTTTTTACACACGGGGCAAATTTGAGGCAAATTCGGCATTTACCACCTTTGCCACCAATGCAAAATTATGGCAAAGTTGGTCCTATGTCATGTGGCAAAACTGAGCAAAATTAAGTAAATGTGGCATTTGCAGATGATTTGCTCCAAATTTGCTATAGAGGTAAATTCGTTTTTTCGTCCAGTGGAGGGCACAGTTCGAGGTTGTCCGCTAAAGTGAGAAGTGAGTCCATTTGCTTTTATTGTATTCACATTCATGGTAAGTACAGTGTGTTGATAATTGGGGATAACAGGCTCCATGGTCATCACACGGCTATCTTTGTGGTACTAGGATATCCATAATTTATGCCTTGGGGATGAAAATTGATAGCACTTTTTTTTAGTTGAAAAAGGATTCTACAAAACTGACAAGTTGGTCTCCTTTTTTATTTTAAAAGCTATTTTACTGTCACGCCAGTAAAATGTAGTTAATGGAACGTGACGCCAGTTATCAGTAACCCTTTCATGGCGGTTCCTTTTCAATAAAGCAGTTGTGTAGTCAAGCTACCAAGGTCAGCAAGCTCTAAGATACATTGTATTCTAGCGTAGAACTTTACGGCCTTGTTGTCTTTAGCATGGTAGTACGATCCCCAGCATTGGCCAACTTTTTCAATGCACTATTCATGGTTAAGAGTTCGCACGTGCAACGCTGAGCTGTCTTGTAGTACAGCCTTTTCTACTGGCTATGCCAGCAGACGTTTGTCTAGCTATAAAAGCCTAGAACAAGTGTTCAGAGTTCACTTGGCTTCTGTTATTCAGCAAGGTTAGCGCTCAGTATACGATTCTTGAAAAATTTTTAAAATTTTTAAAATGGCTCGCCCTCGTCGTACTATTTCGCACTCGAACCGTGCATCCAGCCGAGGTGAACAGGATCTCTCCGCGCTATCAAGCGAAGTGCTCAAACTCCGTCTTCAAGCCCTGAACCTCCCCATTACGGGATCCAAACGGCAGCTGCTAAATCGACTGAAGCGGGCCTTGCCGGGACAAGTGTCAACGTCGACCACAGGGCAACCACAGCGAGTTTCCAAGGCTAAAGCTCGTAAGGGGCGCCCTGCAACGAGAACCACCACGGCGACCGGGCGCTCGTCGGAAAGCCTTTCAGCGAACCTAGGCAACGTTAATAACGAAGACAACGCCCTGTCAGACCGCGCTTCGTTGTCTTCTATCGAGGACATGATCGAGTCGGATCATGAGCCGGACAAGTCCAACTTCCAACGGAACACCGGTTTCGGCCAAACTCAGCGTGTAGCAATCGAGGCCATCGTGACTGATTCAGTCCGCTCCACCATTACAACGCTTCAAACTTCCCCAGCCGCTCATCTTCCTTCACCAGCCGCGCAGCTCCCTTCTGCCTCGCCTCAAAGTCTCTTCACACCTGCCATGGCTTCCCCTCTAGGGCTTTCTAGGCCAGTAGACAAGCGTTACTTTTGCCCGATACATTATACCAGTCCCAGACCCCTGAAATTCAGCTCCGTTTGGACGACTCGTCCTCAGGCCCCATGGGTTCTCCGGTTACCATGCCAAGAAAGAAAAAACCGGTAATTGATACCTTCCCCAAGTGGCTCGACGCTTTCATGACCAACATGTTAATACTCGTGAATGCCTACCCACGACTAGGCTTTTGTACATTATGCTAGCATTTTTTCGAGCGTTTTAGTGAGGCAATAGCATTGAGCATTATTCGAGCATTTTAGTGGCATTTCCCCCGGAAAATTAATTTTTCCGAGAAAATAAAATAGAAATTAACTTTTTTTCAGGAGCCCATGCCCCATGAGCTCCTGCTTTTTTAAACAAAATGAAGACTAAAATTCAAAATTCACAAAAAACCTAATACAGCTGGTTTTTTTTGGCTGTATTTATGAACTTGTACACGTTGTCGTTGTTACTTGCAACACTTGCACGTTTTTGTAAGTGTAAACTTTGAAATTAATTTTACAAAAACCGTTTGTATAATGAGCATTATCCGAGCATTTTAGTGACTTTTTTGGGGAGACCGAGCATTTCAGTGGGAAAAATGGAGCATTAAGGTGGAGCATTTTAGTAGGGAAGCAAAAGCATAATGTACAAAAGCCTACCCACGACGGGCGCTCGAGCTTATCAAATACCAGCAAATTATCAGCAGAGCGGTCGCTAAATTTAAGGGTTTGGCCTGGCTATCGTACGACCAGCAGTTCCGTCGCCGGGCGGTCTATGACTTGTCCCTAAGCTGGGATAAGGTAGACCTTGAGCTATGGACAGTGACTTTTGCAATGTTTGCTCAAGTCCCTATCACGCTGAGGATATCTGTCCTTCTGCTGACCTTAACAGAAAATCTCGCCGCCCCCAGTCTGTGTGCTTCGACTTCAACAAGTCCTCTGGCTGCCGGCGCCGAAATTGCAGCTTCCCCCACGTGTGCCGCCGCTGCTATTCCAGCACCCACCCCGCCCCGGAATGCACCCAGCCACAGCCCAGCAGCGCCAACAAGGCCCCAAGACCTAGCGACCGCAGCAAGAAGTAAAGTGGAGCAGCAACAGCTTAATCACAAGCCTTTAGTATCCTCGCCTATTGACATTTATCGTTTAGAGTTAGAATTAGCCACTCATCCTAATAGAAACTTTGTATATAATCTGCTTAGTACGCTCAAGGAGGGCGCTCGCATCGGCTATACAGGGCCGCGTTCAGACTGGGTCTCCCCGAACCTCATTTCGGCAGCACAGCACCCTTAAGTCGTTTCTTTGAATTTGCAGAAGGAAATAGCCCTGGGAAGGGTAGCAGGTCCCTACCCCTCCCCCCCGTTACCTAAGTTTCAATGTCATCCCGTAGGCGTTATCCCCAAAAAGCACTCAACTGAATGGCGCACTATTTACCATCTCTCCTTCCCCAGGGTACTAGCATTAACGACCACATTCCTAAAGATCCCTACTCTCTAAGTTATGTACAGGTTGACGATGCCATCCGTATCCTCCAGTCCCTGGGAAGGGGAGCTTTTATGGCCAAGACTGATTTCAAATCAGCCTTTCGTTCGATACCTATTCATCCGGACGACTGGAACTTACTAGGCATTTACTGGCAATCCCAATATTATGTAGACATGTACCTACCCTTCGGGCTCCGTTCGGCCCCGTTCCTGTTTAATCAGTTGTCCGACGGCCTCGAGTGGATCCTTAAAAATAACTACGGCATCCAGCATGTTATTCACATCCTGGACGATTTCTTTATTGCCGAGCGAAACAAATTAGACTGTTTAACCAGCTTTAGTACTCTGTTAAGGGTATTCATGTCACTTAAGGCCCCGGTAGTCGCTTCCAAGACGATAGGCCCCTCCCGGGAGATTGAGTTTATGGGCATTATCTTAGACAGCGTCCGCATGGAGGCCCGCTTGCCCCAGGACAAACTCATCAGGATTAATCAGCTGCTCGACTCCTTCAAAAATCGTCGGTCGGTGCGCCTGGTCGAGTTACAGTCACTGATCGGCCGGGACTCTTCAGTTTGCATGTAAAGTAGTGGTGCCGGGTAGGACCTTTCTACAGCGAGCGATTAATTTGACCAGGGGGGTCCCCAGTCGTTTTCACCAAATAAGGCTGAATAAGGAATTCCTTAAGGACCTAGCCATGTGGAAAATTTTTCTCTCCAAATGGAATGGGCGCTCCTTTTTTCTCGAGTCTACTCCTACACCTGCTCAAAATCTCGAGCTATATACCGACGCTGCGGGCTCTATAGGCTTTGGGGGATACTTCCAGGGCAAGTGGTTTCAGGGCCATTGGCCCCCGAACATGCAGTTGAACCAACAACAGGGAATTAGTATTGAATGGCAAGAGCTCTTCCCCATCGTTGTCGCCTGCGCCATATGGCACCCTCTTCTCCCCGGAAAACGCCTTCAATTCTGGTGCGATAATTTATCTGTGGTTTCTATTATAAATTCAGGGCATTCTAAGATCCCCCGCATTATGGATTTGGTTAGACGTCTCGTGCTTCTTTCCATGCAGCACAACTTCGTAGTG